CATATCCTGACTTTAGACTATGAAAGTCAAAGATATTATTTTGCCAAGCTATTTTAGATTCTGGTGTGTGTTGGTTGGTTGGTTTAGTTTTTGGAAAGAACCAATAAAGGATTTTGTACTTTTCTTGGCTCTGTTGGAGGCCAAGCTAGCAGTTACCCTGGAGGTTGAGTAGTGCCTGGGCAGAGGGGCAAGAGGAGAACTTCCCACATTTTAGTAACATTATAGCTCTTGATCTGAGTGCTAGTTACATAGGTGTGTTTGCTTTGTGAAAATTCATCGTGTTATATACTTGACAATTTGAGTACTCTTCTATACTTTAATCAAAAGAAGACTTTAAAAAAGAAAAAATAATCACAGATGTTACTTCAGATACCCCCATTGGTATCTGGTGCCACATAAGAAGTAACCCGATTCCTTTTTTCTGAGAATTTTTCCTCGATTTGAAAATGTTGACAAGTCTCCATGGCAGTTCTCTTCAGGCTATACATCTCTATGTAATTCAAATGTCTTACTTTTGTGAAGGAAGATTGCGATTTACTAAGGAGTAGACTTAGTGCTCTGGTCACGGATGAATTGGAAGGGATAGCTCTGTTGCAGCAGAACAGTATCTGTTTCTAGATACTACCTTCAACTTGATTGGCTTCTTGACCTAAAACTATAATATAGCACTTTTGGCTCTTAATTCAGCTCTAAGGTGACAGAGTGCTTAAAGAGATGTTCTCTATCATTATTTAGGAAATATTTTCATTTGGTTAGATTATAGTGTCAGCAAATAACTGGTTGTCTTTAATGTCAGAGAATGGGTAAATAATCATTGCTTATTCAACTATAGGCAGTTTTAATACAGTTCAGCAAATCATAGGAGAATTTTATGTGGAAACTATTTGGAAATAAAAACAGGCAAAAAGCTTTATGTGGTTTTTATATTTGTGTTTTGCATGTTTTTGGAGCCTTCAGTTCTGTGTGGTCCAAGAAAAAATCTCAGCCTCTATTTATTTTAAATTTCCAAAGACTTCAGTTTTCAAATCATTTAACTCTACCAGTATTTATTCTTGTGTAAGGACAAATCAACATAATTTGTCTATACTGGGCCTTCTTCAGTTGTGCCTTGGGTCAGGGCAGTAGGTGAGAACGACTGGGAATGTGAACTCAGCCTAAGCATGAGAATCAGAGGAGGATCAATGAGAGAGGAAGAGGATACCAGATCTGACTTTCTCCTATACTGAGAGAGGAAGAGTCTTGATTTGCTTTCTATCATAGGAGCTATCTATAGACTTCGTTAAGATTTATTGTTTTAATCATGTTTTAGTTTGTAAAAATTACTCTTTCTACCATCTGAAAAGTTATTATATTTGAAAAGTTCATATAGGTAAATTGGAAAGTGATGAGCAGCTTTGTTGTAATAACAGTAGCATGAGTGCATACTATGTGTCTCACAGTATACATTGTAATTTTTGCTTTATATTTGATTTTTTAATGCTCGTATAAGATATATCTCCATTTTGAGGAACTGAGGCTGAGAAAGGATAAGAAACTTGCCTAAGGTCACATAGCTAAAGTGGTAGGGCCATCCTGGTCCAAGCCCAGAAATGTAGGTTATTTCAACTATTTCTTTTATTTTAAAATGTTACTTTATATTTAAAGTTTTCCCGAAGTTACATATTTTGTAAGACCTCTATTTTTTGCCATGCCTGTTGGACCAGCTCTTGCGGTCTACTTATCTGACTGGTGTTTATAATTGTCTGCTGTTCTTTGTTTTTTGTGGGGTTTTTTTGTTGTTTTTTTTTTTAACCTTTTTAATGAGTTTGGGGAAAGTATATTCCTTTCTCTCATTTTAGGACTTAGAATTTTTGCTTTATGTCTCCTCCAGACTTAGCAATAGGGAGAAATAGCAATAACTAAAGGGCCTGACATTAATGCTAATTGTAAATTAAAGGTTCATCTTTTCCAGGGTCTGAGTGTGTTCTGACTCTGCCTCCAGCTAACTGTGTGACCTGGGGGACACTACTTAACCTTCATGATCTCAGGCTTATCATTTGTACACTAAGAGTTGAACCACATCTCTGAAGTGTTAATACTTTGCTACACAATTTTATTCTATAATTCTGTGTTCTGACTTTAGCCAAATGTCGAACATAAAGTGAATATCACAATGTTTGGACATAGTACACGCTCAATAAAGTATAACTGTTCTTAATTATTTGGACATTTTCCCATGAGGAGTTTTCAGGAGTTGTTCTGAAGATTTCAACAATAAAAGAATGGAGATAACCAAAAAGTTTTATTCATTTGGGGATATGCTTTCTCTTTGCTATTTTTTCACAGCCCTGACCAGTAGGGAAAACAGCTGCTGGTGACTATTCTTTGGAATAATCACCTCATGATGCCTTCTAGCAACTCTATTTGCCATGTTTTTAGGTGGTAATATACTGAAAGAAAATAGGAGAGCAACTGGTAGTAAGAGGCCTGTAGTAAAATGTCTAGATTAATTCTTTATAAATATTAAAAACAGATTTGTGTTCTGAAGTCAGGCTCGTGGATGTCTGCTTTATATTAAAACCCGATTCTGAAACAACTGTTAATAAAAGGTTAGAATCGAGGGCCCATGTGGATTGACTGGGGAGAAAGAAACTAGAAATTATAGACGTTATGCTTTTAGGATGATGGAGTTTAGAGTTTCTTTGGCATCATCTAGTCTAGCTAATTACCCATAGAGGAATTCCTTCTAAAACATCCAGCCTCCATTAGAAAACTTCCACAATAGGAAGCACTACTTCTCAGGGCAGCTGCTCATCCAGCTGTTGAATTCCAGCTCTTTGGAAGCTATTTCAGTGAACTTAAATCTGTTTCTGTATTTGTCTCCTTCATGTGACAGCCCATATATCCTCCCTTCTGGCATTAAATGTCCTCTCTGTCTCCCAGCTCTTTCATTCATACTCTATCAGGCTTCCCCTCCTCTTTTTTGTTCCTACTCTTGACTCCCCTTCACAATGTCTTCCCTTACATTTTCCTCAGTTCCTTCACAATGTAAATAGAAGCTAAAACCACATCTCCTTTAGCTTTTTGGATTCTTTAAAAAAAAAAAAGAGCTAAAACCACAAATAATAGCAAAACAACTTATTTTTACTCCTATTCTCCATGCTTTTATCAAAAATATAATATTTTAAACAAATAAATCCATGGCTATTTCTGCACAGCCATGACCAGTAGGGAAAACTCCAGGTGCTGGTGACGGTTCTTTGTCATCCATTTGGAGTCATCCCATTATTATTAAAGTAATTTGAAAATTACTTTTGTCCCAAGACAAAAGCTGAAATACTCTTTTCACAAAGTATTACTGGTAGGTTAGTCATGATTTATAAATATATAATTAGGATTGATTTGTCTGTTTCTTCCTTGCTCAGCCCCTTTCTAACCTTCATTGACTGAAACCAGATGCTTATATCACCATCTGTGATTTCGCAGAATTGATCTGTCCTTATACTACATTTAGCATTGATTGTGTATGAACATAAATTGTTTTTCTGATGTATATGCATTCCATAGTCTTTCAGGCTGTGACCATGCAGCATAACTTTAACCTAATTGGAAGGAATGTGCTAAAATTTAGTCACTGTGAGGCCTGCCAACAAAAATAGTTAAAATCTGCTAAAGAAATATATCAAAATTTATAAGGAAGATTAAAGTTAATGTTGGATATTTGGGGGTTTGTTTGAAAGTAAATAAAGCAATTGTTGTTTTTGTCTAAATAACATAAGCCTCTTGAGAAATGATGGCATAGCTGGAGCTTCTGACTAAACAATCTTACAGTGTAAACGTGACTTGCTGAGATGTTTTTTTGAAGGTCAAGGATGCTTTTCCTAGGCCGGGCGCGGTGGCTCATGCCTGTAATCCTAGCACTCTGGGAGGCCGAGGCGGGTGGATTGTTTGAGCTCGGGAGTTCGAGACCAGCCTGAGCAAGAGTGAGACCCCGTCTCTACTAAAAAAATAGAAAGATATTATCTGGACAACTAAAAATATATAGAAAAAATTAGCCGGGCATGGTGGCGCATGCCTGTAGTCCCAGCTACTCGGGAGGCTGAGGCAGGAGGATCGCTTGAGCCCAGGAGTTTGAGGTTGCTGTGAGCTAGGATGACGCCACGGCACTCTAGCCCGGGCAACAGAGTGAGACTCTGTCTCAAAAAAAAAAAAAAAAGAAGGATGCTTTTCCTCTAACAACTGTTTCAGATCTTAAGACTCCGTATCAGAATGTGATTTTTGGTTACCTTTGTTTCCAAAAGCTGACATAGACAGTGGAGAATCAGTTGGTGATATTAGTACACAATTCCATTTAGCTAAAGATGTTGTACAGGTAATTGCAATTATTTCCAGTTGCTGGTTTATAACAGAGGTAGCTAAAAACAAGAATATCTAGGCTGGGTATGGTAGCTTACACTTATAATCCCAGCACTTTGGGAGGCTGAGGTGGGAGGATGACTTGAGGCCAGGAGTTCAAGGCTGTAGTGCACTGTGATCATGCCTGTGAATAGCCACTACACTTTAGCCTGGGCAACATAGGGAGACCTTGTCTCTTTAAAAAAAAAAAAAAAAATTAGTTCATTGATGGAAAGTACTTAGAACAGTCCTAGCAGATAGTTGCTGCTCAATAAATGTCAGCTACTACTAAAAGGAAAAGTTTGCTTCTAAGGCAATTGGCCGATGTGTTAAACTCTCTAGTGCCAAAACTGTAAACATAGATTTGTTGTTTTTTATACATAGTACGTATTTATCATAATGATCTTTCAAATGTAAAATTATTTTCTTGATTTTTAAGGAAACTTTAGCAAAATATGTCTTATAATTTTAATTGTTTTTTTTGCCTATTATTACAAGAGAATATATTGGTCGAAAAGTTTTTAGTTGGGAATTTTTATTATGTGCTACTGTCTTATATTTTATATATCTAGCATTTTGATTTTCAGAACACTTTTTGACCCCAAATTATGATTTTGTCATTGCAGGCAAGAAGACAACAAGACCCTAGTCCTGGTTCCAATTTAGGTGGTGGTGATGACCTCAAACTTCGTTAATTAGTAGCACAGCAGATGTGCTGCCCGTCTTTATATACACATTGCTTCTAGTTGGCAGTAATAATTGATTAAAAGACCAGAAACTGTGATAACTGGAGGTACTACGGTCTATTTCCCAACCTTAGGCAGTAACAGACATCACAAACTGCCATGGTTTTGCACTATGATTATAATACCTGCATTTCTAAGTTTTAAGCATGTAGCCAGTAATAATTTGAAATTTTTTCCTATGCAAGCTTACCTTGTTGGCATTATTTTAGAGACTTGTAAAGCTCTTTTTCTTCCATTTTAATTTAAAGGTTCATGTCATTTAAAAACAGGTCAAGAAATTAAAATTTATATCAGAGGGTTTTCTTTAACCAGTTGCTCTAATTTTTTTGTACTTTTAGATGTATTGGTTATACAGCTTCATTTTAGATAAACATTCTTGTTTTTTTGTTTGTTTTGTTTTCCCCATTTCCTTTTGTGTTTTTATAGTCTACAGCATTTTAAAACTGCTGATGTTTGCATTATTTACAAGCTAAAAACCTAGTAGCATAGAGCTGTCTGCCACAGCCTTCTAACACAAAGTTTACAGTTATTAAAGTTGCAGTATCCTTTTAAATGCTAATAATCAGCCCCCTTTCTTTCCTTTTTAAACATAAAAATTTTAAATTGGTAATAACTATGTAGTCTGCCCCAGATCTGTTTTAGATTCTGTTCTGTAATCATGAGTTTGGGTGGAGATATTCTCCATAGATTATAATCTTCTACTGAAATGCCTAAAGAAGTCACAGGCTGGCTTCTGTTTTATTCAGGGATTTTTTTAAAAAGTCAATCAGAAAAGGGATACTGGAGCTTCTTCATGTACGTAACAGCATATTAAACTGGAGACAGTGATGAATCAGCTACAAAGGTAACATTGTATTAAATCATGTTTAAGATAGCTGCTTTTATGTGTATTTTATATTGCATGCTTTTGTAAAAACATGCTGGGTGATGAAAGATTAGTCTTAGAGAGAAAATGTTCATCTGTGCAGAGGATACATTTTCTTCCATTAATTCTTGGAAAAACAGTCACAGTTATATATATGGTATTTTGCAAAAGGACTATTAATAGAGCCTTTTGAGATGAATTAGTGTAAGAATATTTTTAAAATAGGCTTACTGTCAAATTGAGTGCAACTTTTTTTTTCTTTTTAATACAAGACTGGAAAAAAGTGCCAAGTCATTTGGCACCTCCTTACAAATATTTTTCATGGTCACATTCATTAAATGTTACTACATTTCTGAATTTTTTCAAAAATGTATTTTATCATAATACAATGGCATTATTTTAAAGAGTTTGAAAAACTGACAAAGTCAATTCAGAAAATGAACTGAAGTCTGAATAAGGTCATTACATTTAAAAAGCTTTTAACTATACTTGATTGATGAGAGAGATGTGATTTTCATTGTATATAGGTCTTATATAATTCATAAGCAAATATCCTGTATCTCAGAATAAAAATATTTGTTATATATTTGAAGTCATGCATGGTAAGAAGTGTGTTTAAATTGTTATAAACAATAATTCATCATAAAAGACCATGCTGATCTTGTGTAACTATAAGTACTATGAATGAATTTGGTTGGTATTTGGTGTTGTGCAGCTCACATGTTTACACACTCAGTGCCCTCATTTCCCCTGAGGGAATCACTTTTTAAGTGATCCTTACAGTGGTGTTTTAAGGTTACTTTATCACAAAGCTCCTTGGTTTTTGACTTCTGCACTTATAAAATTTTTTTTAAATAACATGATGATGGTACATTTTTCTCTGTTGCTTCTAGCTAAGGGCTTTCAGTCCACCAGTAAATGAGATCAATGTTATTAAATGTTGCTGTTGCCATCCTTCTGTAAATACTGAATTTTTCCTGTCATTTAGCACTGTGCTGCTTCTGTCTGTCTTAATGCTGGCATTAAGATCATGAGCCCTTTTTCTCCAATATTGCAGGCTTTGAAAACTTATTATTAAGTTATTGATGCAATTTGATATTTTTCATAATCTATATTTAAACAAAATTACATCATTGCATCATCTTTTCTAAATTCATCTCCATTAAAACTTGCCTTAAGCTACCAGATTGCTTTTGCCACCATTAGCCATATTGTGTGTTTGTATGTTTAATTTACTTTCACAATAAACTTCTGTGTAGTGAAAACAGAGTCTTGGCTCTTTGTTCACGTAATCCAACGGTTTCTGTTCTAGTGTATTTTAGGACAATGAAAATTGATTTTGTTGTTTATGAACAGTTCCTTGATCCTGCTTTTTACCTGATTAAAAAAAAAAAAAGCATGACAACAGTGGCATCTAGTGGTCATTTATGCTGATTTCAAAAAAGACCTTTACTTTAAAACGTAGATATCCAAGGTATACTAATTTCCCAACGTATATTAATGTTTTTCAAAACATCTGGCTTGATTTACCCAGCCTATGAGGTATGACCATAAGGCGATGATCTTGGCGGGAAGGAAGAATTTTTTAAAATTACACATCCAAATTAGTACCATCTTTCAAGCTGGTTGTTTTGGAAATACATACTTGTTTTGATTGTGCTGGTATTATATCAGACATTCTTAGGATTCCTTCTAGCATTTTCCTACACCAGAAAATTAAGCGTTTTTCTTTAAAAGTATGTCTTAAGCCTGTCAGAAGGGGTCCAAAAAAAAAAAACTATGCCTTAAGCCTAATCCATAATGAACAAGTTTACTTATTCACCACCAGACTTAACAGCAAATGACAAAAATTCTTTTAAATACTGAATTGGCAGTATTAAGGAAAATTCTAAAGAGTAGGATTCATACTCTGAGGGTTAATTTCAAAAATTGAGCAGTAACAGCATGGTTTTAGTAAGTATATATCACTTCTAGAAACAGATACTTGAATATGCTAATTCTGGACTGCTTGGTGAAAAATATTTGATTTATGCCCCATTTGGCAATGGAGAGCTTTTCAATCTATTAAGCCGTTGTATTATCCATTGCTGCATAACACATTACCCCAAAACTTAGCAGCCTAAAACAGTAAACATATTATCTTACAGACTTTTGTGAGTCAGAAATCTGGAAGTATAATAGCTAAGCTCAGTGGTTCTGGTTCAGAGTCTCTCATGAGGTTAGAGTCAGCCTAGGCTACAGTCATCTTAAGGCTTGACTGGATAAAGGATCCCCTTTCAAGCCCACCAAGTGGTCCTTGACTGTCCTCAGTTCCTTGTAGCCTGTGAGACAAAAGGCCTTGATTCCTTACTAGGTGTTGGACAGAGACCTCCTTCAGTGTCTTGCCATGTGAGTCTCTCTGTAGGACAGCTCAAAGTGGGGAAGCTGGCTTACCCCAAAGCAAATGATCCAAGAGAGTGTATGCCCAAGATGAAAGCCACAGTCCTTTTAATAAACTAATCTTGGGCTGCCATACTCTGTTATTTAATAGAATCAAGTCACTGGGTCTGGCTCACACTCAAAGGGAGGAGTAGTAAGCCTCATCTCTTGAAGAGAGCGATGTCAAAGAATTTGTGGACATATTTTTAAAGCCACCACAGCATTATTACCATATGTATAAAACTTGAGTCTTTATAAGACAGCTTTGGTGTTTTAATATCCCAAACAGTAAAAGGTAAGGTTTCAGTCTTTCAAAGGCAGATTTCAAGGCACCATTCCTAGATAGCATCAATTCCTTTTCTTGCATCACCATCATATATACATAAATTGCATTTCAAAAATGTTCCAAGGCTAAAAATTTACAATTGCAGAGTGGGATCATGGATGTAAATGGAAGTTTAGTTCATTTAAATATAGGATACTGTAAAACAGGTAAGTCACTGTATTAGTCAACTCTCAGCTTTTGGTTAGAACAATTGAAGCAACTTAGAGGTAAGGTCATTATGGACCTTTTCAGGTTTCAGAAATGTGAGTAGATAAGAGGGAAATTTTTGATTAGGGAAGATAATCTATATTCATACTATCCAATATGGTAGTATGGCTACTGAGCACTTTAAATATGAGGAACTGAATTTTTTGTTTTTTAAATTTTAACTTAAAAGCTGAGGCAGATTTAAATATTTTTCTGTTAAATAAAACTTTGTTTAGGGAGGATTGCATGTCATTTTAGCCTTTGAAAATTTAGTGTCCAAATTTAAAAAAATGACTTTTTGATGCTAATGCAAAAACAAGTCCAATTAAATGCAAAGTGGTATCCAGATCCTGGAACAGAAAAAAAAGATGTAGGACATTAGGCAAAAAACAGGCAATATCAGGCCGGGCGCGGTGGCTCACGCCTGTAATCCTAGCACTCTGGGAGGCCGAGGCGGGCGGATTGTTTGAGCTCAGGAGTTCGAAACCAGCCTGAGCAAGAGCGAGACCCCATCTCTACTAAAAATAGAAAGAAATTAATCGGACAACTAAAAATATATAGAAAAAATTAGCCGGGCATGGTGGTGCATGCCTGTAGTCCCAGCTACTCGGGAGGCTGAGGCAGGAGGATCGCTTGAGCCCAGGAGTTTGAGGTTGCTGTGAGCTAGGCTGACGCCACGGCACTCTAGCCCGGGCAACACAGTGAGACTCTGTCTCAAAAAAAAAAAAAAAACAAAAAAAACCAGGCAATATCAATAAAGTATTGATTTTTGTTAATAATAATGTATCAATATTAGTTCATCAATTGTAACAAATATATCACACTAACGTAAGATGTTAATATTAGAAAAGTAATGTGATGGGTGGGAATGCTCTGTACTATCCTTGCAGCTTTTATGTACATCTAAAATTATCCCAAAATAAGAAGGTTATTTAAAAAAAAAAATTTAGCATCCATGTTGAGATGTACTGTTAGTATAAAATATCAGATATCAGTGACCTAGTACATGTTTTATTTTGATTACATGTGTTAAAATGATAGCATTTAATATTGATATTTGATACAGTGGGTTAAATAAAATTAAAAATTATCTTTTCCCACTTTAATTTGGCTTCTAAAAAACTTAAGTTGCATATATTGGCTCACATCAATAGTAATATTGTAAGTGGCTAAAAGACATAGATAATATAACTAAAAAGAAAAAATAATTTTTTAAAATGGAAGATATTGAGGCTCTGTTACTGTTTTTTAAAAGAGACTAAAACAGTATTATTATTTGCCCCCTAGGATCATTTAGAGGTAAAAAAAATGTATATCCAATATCCAAAGTGGACATGGTTCCTGCCCACAGAGAACCTGAAGTCTAGACCAAAAACTGCCCCAAAACAGTAACAATGTTTAAGTTATATTGGAAGTACGGGCTTTTACAGTACATCTATTCTGATCTGGGTGGTCAAAAAAAGGACCTCCCTGAGGAGACATTTGAGCTTAAGGCAAAGGAGTTGGATGGCAGACATTACACCAGCTAGAAAAGGTGACAGAAGTATTGGAGGTAGCCAGGCAATAGCTTGACAAGGGAGTGTATATTCTGGGCAGCTTGAATCTATGCTACCAGGTTGCAGTTCTCAAGTTTGTCCCAAATAAACTACTTACATTTAAAAGGCCAGGCAGTTGCTCTTGCTTGTAATCCCAGCACTTTGAGAGGTTGAGATGGGAAGATCACTTGAGACCAGGAATTTGAGGTTGCAGTGAGTTACGATAATGCCACTGTGCGCTAGCCCAGGCAACAGAGTGAGACCCTGTCTTTAAAAAAAAAAACAAACAAAAAATACTTGGCAAGTTTGAGAAACTAACAAGCTAAGTATGACTGGAACATGGAATGGAGGGGGGCTACACAGTGAGATGAATCTGAAAGGGTCAGCAGAGGCCAGAGTAAGTGTCAAAAGCAGTGTTGGACTGGCCTTTCTAGCCATGTTAAAACATTTGGAGTCTTGGACCCTTCCTAAGGGTGATCAGGAAGCCATTGAGGGGCTGGGACCTTGATAGAATGGGCGCTCGAGAAAATTCTGGTTGATTGGAGAGAACAAGACTGGAAGCAGAAACTAGTTCCCTCTGATGATACGATAGAGTAACCCAGTAGGGAGATTAAGAGTAGCCTAGCGGACATAGAGATATTTCGGAGCTAAGAAAAAAGTATAGGAGGCATAATTGACAATTTTCCAGTTTCTCTTACCAGTCAGGATAGGCTGGTTGTGTTGCCTTAGAACATACTGGCCTAAAGATTTATCTTTTATGTGCTAAATACCCATCAGTGGTTGACCTAGGCTGACAGAACAGAAATGGAACATTGCCAGCTATTGTCACAGAGCCAAGAAAGAAGATAGTGTAATGAAAGGGGCACTGGCTTTGAAAACTGCCACCTGAATTGATAAAATGTGACTTCTGTTTTCACTGGACCAAGCAAGTCATAGCCATACCCAACTTCAGCCGAGCAGGGAACTGCAATCCTACTTTTTGTCCAGGAGAGAATCTGAATATTTATCAATAGTTCCAATGAACTATTCCAGTGACCTACCACACAGGTCACTGTTTCAATTATTATTTTTTAGATACAGAGTCTTGCTCTGTTGCCCAGGCTGGAGTGCAGTGGCATGATCACAGCTCACTGTAACCTCGAATTCCTGGGCTCAAACGATCCTCCTGCCTCTGCCTCCCATTAAGGGGGTTCCTCAGTCGGCTGTTTTCCATGACTGTTGGCCCCATCCCTGATTTGCCAGACAAATTTACCTTTCATTCCTGCTTTCAAACAGTTTTTTTTTTTTTTTGCTTTTGTTTTTTTTAAATCTTGAGAAATATAACCAATAGTAACTAAGATTGTCTTCCCAGTTCTTCACCCAGGGCTTCATGCTTGTTATATTTCCTCGCTTCCAAGTTATTGCATGTGACAGCTTTACCAGGACTGGCATCCTTCCAGCCTCCAATGTCAGTTCCCCCAACCACTTCCACTTCCTGTATGCCACCACCATCCTTCCAGCTACCTACGCTGGAAAACTATGTCTTTATTCTTGACTCCCAATCTCCCTCATCTCCCACATCCAATCTGTAAATCCTACCAACAGATTCCATCAATTCTCTGCCCCTATTAGATTTTTTTAAAAATTTAATTACACGCACAGAATTTACCTGTAAGTCAGAGTGCAGATCTCTGAGGTAGGTACGATCATTTTACAGATGAGGAAACTAAGGCATGGAGAGGATAGGTAACCTGTAAAGGGCACAAAGCTATTAAGTGACAGAACTGGGATTCAAA